ATCTGAAAGGAAAAAGAGGAAGAAAGAAATTGTATTGAATTTGACATTCTCTGAGAAGTATTTTAATCTACTGTTCATCTCTAGTCGTTTGGGGAGAGAAAGCACCTAAAACAGTGTCTTTCTCTCCTGTTTGCTTCTGGATCATATGAGCTCTCACCTCTAATTCATGATCGTTGCCTAAGTAGTCTCTCTACTTCTGGTTGCCCACATTCTCTACCATCAATGCATTCTTCATGGTGTCCCAGAGTGATCTTGCCAAACTCTGATCTATTATATCACTTCACCTCTGAAAGTCCTCCCAGAGCTCCCTGTGGCTTCTACAATGAGGCCCACATTCCTTAGATGGCCTTCACGTCCATCTGATAATGATGAGCTGGCCCTGCCCATCTCCCCTACCTAACCCATTCCTTTGTTAGGAGATCTGTGTGCAGTGAAAAAGAACCATTTGTAATTCCTCAGAATCACCCTCCATTCAGACCTTCATGCCTTGACACACAGTCTTCCCATTGTCTGGAGTTATAATGTCTATAATTTACTTTAAAATACCTTACCATAGATAATTTGATCTTATGCAAGTGCTGCTTTAAATTTCAACCACAAGTCTCAGAAAGGAAGCTAATCCACAGGGCTAATAGCCTACATGAGCCATGGCCTCCTATACCCTGAGACCAGAAGATGGTGCCTAGCCGCTACTGACCATTCTAATCATGGCCACAATAGACGGACTCTGATAGGATGGGAGAAGAAAGTGGAACGGAGGTCAAATTCTTAAAAAGTCCAGATTTACTGGACCTGTTGAGACTAGAGGACTCCCTGACATTATCACCCTGAGCTGCTCTTAAACTTTGAACCAAAATTATCTCCCAAGGTCACCTTTTAACCAAACAGATTGGGACGCAAAATAAAGGACAATACCCTTAAATACAGTGCTCCTTTAAGCCATCTCTATGAAGCCAAAAGGTCAACAAGTACTCTAAAGCAAAGATGAGAAGATAAGGGGAAAAGGGAAGCTAGAGCACTGGAAATAGAGCAACCAGAATGCAATTAGAGAATGTTGACCCATCGTGAAAAATGGAACTAATGTCACTGAACAGTTTGTGTAGAAATTGTCAAATGGGAACGTAATTTGCTGTGTAAACTTTCACTGAAAGCTTAATAAAATGTTACTGTTTAAAACTTTTAAACACAGTAGCAATCAATTGCTGTAGTCATGAATCCTACTACTGGGTTGGGGGACTTTCATTGTATCAGAAAATCACATTGCAGAGAGGGCTGAGACCAGTGCTTCTAGTACTGGTATCCTGATCAAAACTATATACTTTACCAATTTGCAGATGAATGTCAGAAAGCATTTTTGTTGGTGAAGTTAGCTGTTAGTTAATTGGCAGTGGTTAGTAAGAGCCCCCATCAGTGCAAATGAATGCTACCCGAGAGATTTGGACCCCCTTCTGTGAACAGAGACTAAGAATATTGCACATGATACAGAAGACTTAGGTCAAAATGAATTTAGACCTAAATGTAAAACCTGAAACTATAAAACAGCTAGAAGAAAATTTTTGTGACATCGTTTAGGAAATAATTTCTTAAATAGGACACCAAAAGCACCATTCATAAAAGAAAAAAACAATAATAATGATAAGTTGGGTTTTGTCAGAATTAAAAGCTGTTCTTTGAAAGCCATTAGGAGGATGGAAAACACACAAAGCATTGAGAGAAAATATTTGCAAGACCTGGTAAAGGACTTGTATCCAGAATATATGGAGAACTCTCAAAACGCAGTAATAAGAAAAATAAACAACCCAATTGGGGGAAAAAAACTAGACAAAAGATGTAAATAGACATTTCACCAAAGATATGAGGATGGAAAATATACTCAACATTCTTAGTCATTAGGAAAAGGAACTTAAAGCCATAGTGAGATACCACCATAGAGCTATTAGAATGGTTAAAACTTAATAAATGTTTGAAAACCTGCCAATGCTGAGTGCTGGGGAGACTGCAGAGCAGCCGGAGCGTTCACGCAGTGCTGGTGAGAAAGCGGAATGCTACAGTCCTTTTTAAACAGCAGTTTGATGATTTCTTACTCAGTTACATGTACTCTTTCCTTGGGACTCACCAGTCCCACTTCCAGGTACATAGCCAAGAGAAATGAAAATTTATATTTACTACAAACCTGTACATGAATGTTTATAGTATCTTTACTAATAATCACCCAAAACTGCAAATACCCACGTGCTATCGATGCCAACTCTAAGGGGAACAGAGTCCTGTCTCTAGAATGCAGTTAGGTCTCCCTCCAGTGAACCGTCCATGCAAGGTCAGCCCTTGGAGAGTTAGGGCTTGATGGCCCTTACTGAGCAGGCTGTGTGAGCTGTACCTGCCAACGGATGGTGTCCTGTTTGGTTTTACAGAGACGGGTGGGTGTATATGTGGCAGAATTTGGACTGAAACTTGCTTCCATTACAACTTAATAAAAAGGTTATGGAGGAGTAGCCCTCACCCACCTCAGATTTCTTTGGCAGTTACCAGTATCTACCAAAAAGAACCTCAGAATCATGCCTAAACAGATGTAGGCCATTGCAGCAGAGGAATGCCTTCATTCCTCAGGCTCACTCGTTGTGTCCTGTGAGACCCAAATTGAGCATCATCTCCTGCCATGACCCTTCCTGGTGCCTCGCAGCGGACTTCAGTGGTCCCTGGTACATGTGCTTCTGAAAAGCATTCTCTTTGGGTTGTTTTTTCTTAGCCTACTTCACAGATTGTGGGGTTTTAAAAGGTATAAACCATGTCTTATATTCCCAGGGACTAGCACAATTTTTAACATATTCATAGATAGTCAGTTAAATAATACTAACACATTTTTTGAATAAGTAACAAATTAATAGTAATAAATAATATAATAAATTATAATGATGATGGTGATAATAACCAACATTTACGGTTCAATTCCTTTGTGCTGCCCTTTACAGGTAGCTCCTCATAGCACCCGATGAGCTCTGTATTATTATCTTCCTCATTTCATAGATAAGAAAACTAAGATAAGAGGCACAGAGAGACACAGTAACTTGCCTAACATCACATAGCTAGTAAACGTTGGAACTGGGAATTGAAGTCAAGCAGTCTCATTCCAAAGCCTACATTTTTTTTTTTTTTAAAGTTGCTTTGGGTGAAAGTTTACAGAGCAAATTCATTTTCTGTTTTCATACACATTTTGTCTCATGACATTGATTACAGTCCCCACAGTGTAACAGCTCTCTTCCCACTTCCTGCCTGTAGTTACCTCTTCCTGTGTCTTTCTTTCCTATGCATTCCTGCCACTTGAGCTAGCTCCTTTATGTAAATACTGCCCTTCTGTTCTCTCATGATTGATCATTCTAAGTTGTGTAACTACCTGGTGTAAATGTTCACCCTATATGCCTATCTATTGTTTGGCTGGACACTATGGGAATGAGTTCAATTCCAGGCCTGAAGAGTAACAAGGGGCCATAGTCTCAGGGGTCTCATCAGGCTCTATCAGACCAGTAAGCCTGGTCTTTTTTATAATATTGAGTTTTGTTCCACATTGTTCTCCCACTCTATCCAGGGTCTCCTGCACTGATCCTCCTATGAATGGTTGACAGTAGCAGCTGGGCACCATCTAGTTCTTCTGGTCTCATGGTCATATAGGCTGAGGTTCACATGGTCCACTAGTCCCTTGGGCTCATTGTCTCCATGTGTCTTTGGTTTTCTTCCTTCTTCTTTGCTCCAGATGAGGAGAGACCCATCGTTGCATCTAGATGAAAAGCCTATACTTTTAAGCTCTGTGATTTCCACCCCTTTTCTCCATGCAACAATATCTGTTGAAAGGGTTAATGCTTTTTCCACTATGCATTCAACCCTAGCATTGAAAGGAATTTCAGAGTTCGTCTATCCTTTACCTTATTGTACAGACTGAACAAGCACCACAGAAGCCAACTTACTCAAGATCCCTCTGATGTCCTGCAGAATAACTGGGGTGGCTTTTTGGGGAAAGGGAAAGAGTACTTCAAAACTGACAGGGCCACTGCAGCTTCAAATATTTGGGTACTCGGCTTAGCTACCCCATGCTGCTGTACAGAAATACCATCAGTGGGTGGCTTTGACAAAGAGAAATTTATTTTCTCCCAGTTTAGGAGGCTAGCCCTAGGGGACGCTCCCTCTCTGTGAGCTCTGGGGGATGATCTTTGTCTCCTTCAGCTGCTGTTTCTCAGTCCCTTGGCCGTCTAGCTCCACATGGTGTTGTCTTCCCCCATTGTGTGTCCTTGCTTCTCTCCATTTCTAATCCGCTCTTTTTATGTCTCACAAGTCACACCTGACACTGATATGGCCTCATGAACATAGCAAATAAAACCTATTCCTAAATGGGATTACGTCCACAGGTTTAGGGTTAGGATTCCAATACTCATTTTGTTGTTGTTGTTGTTGTAGTTAGGTGTCCTCGAGTCAGTTCCAACTCATAGTGACCTCATGTCCAGCAGAATGAAACACTCCCCAGTCCTGTACCATCCTCACAATCCTTGCTATGCCAGAGCCCACCGTTGCAGCCACTGTGTCAGTCCGTCTCATTGAAGTGCATCCTCTCTTCACTGACCGTCCACTTGACCAAGCATGATGCCCTTCTCCAGGGGCTGGCCCCTCCTGACAGCATGACCAAGTAGTATAAGAGGCAAAGTCTCACCATCCTCACTTTTAAGGAGCCTTCTGCCTGTACTTCATCCAAGACAGATTTCATCCTCCTGGCAGTCCGTGGTGTAGTCAGTATTCTTCACCAATACCGTCATTCAGATGCATCACTTCTGTCTTCCTTATTCACTGTCCAGTTTTCACATGCACTTATTTGAGTGGAACACAATTCAATACAAAGTGGTACTTTATTATATGAAGATCATTATTTTCTTTTTGTTTGTTTGTTTGTTTAAGAAGATCATTGTTTTCATGGGCAAGATTTCTCATTAACTGCTCTCCCATCTCTCTCTTTTCAGAGTTCACTGTTTCCACTACCTCATCCCTCTCGCAAAGGAGGGGAACTACGCAATTGTGGCTAACGTGGAAAGTATGGACTATGACCCTCTGGTGGTCAAGCTCAACAAAGATATCAGTGCTATCGAGGAGGCCATGAGCGCCAGCCTCCAGCAGCACAAGTTCCAGTACATCTTTGAAGGTCAGGCCCTGCGTCTCTCTGGGGCAGCTTGGGGAGAAGGAAGAGTGGAGGTTTTCCTGCTAGTTATTACTGAAGTTCAGAACTTTTAAGGAGAAAAAAAAAATCTTTCTTTTTTGCTTACAGTACAATCCCCAGCCCTCTGTGTGAGTCTAGGTAGACACAATGGTTGCTATCTGCTCCTTGTTGCTAAGGAGATTTAATCCAAGATAAGACAGATGGCAGTCTGGCCGACTCCCTGACATGCCACTCCTGAGACTAGGGTGAATGTGAGGATTGGGCCGTGAATTAATTCATAGGGAGCTTATAAGGGGAAAAAAAATATAAGGAGAGAACCCTGAAAGATCCCTCACTGGCTAAAATTGTCACTGGAAGGGGATGTTTTCTCTTACAAAATGCATTATTCTCTGTAAAGAACAGAAGGCTCTGGTTAACCGCGCTTTGAAGAAGTCGCCCTCCACAAATTCCTTCAGGGGCCTGGCAGACAAGGGTAGGAGAGACTATGCCATCTAAAGACATCAAATTCAAATTTTTGAAGGATGTGGTACCAGCCAAGTGTTTTTCATGCTGAATTCTGCCTGTAGGACCCCTGTTAAGACTTCAAATTATAGTTCATTTTTTTCTCATTTGGTTTTGTTTTTATGTAGACCTGCAGGCCAGAAGTATCTTTGTTCTCCCACTGTATTAAACCAGTGGTATTTAAATCAATAAAAACATAAATAAAGTCTGAAAACAATTTTCAAAAGACCAGTCACTAGAAAAGGACGTGTATGAAAAGCAGAAGGCCCATGGAAACGCAGGAACCCTCACTGTGGTGACTCAGCAGTATCACCAGTGGACTCACGCACACCAAAGATCAGGAAGATGGCTCAGGACAGGGCAGCGTTGTGCTTGTTTGTGTGAGGTCACCCAAAGTCTACACCTGCACAGCAACCAATGACATTTAAACAGTTAGGAAGGTACACCGTCCGAAGGATTGTAGCAATTATAGGCCATTTAAGGGTTCTCTGTTAGCCAGCTCCTTGGCCCATTATGAATGTGGGGATGTCCATGTCCCCTGGGAGTTCACATTCCCCTTCCCCCACAGACTATCCCTTTGCCCTTGACTGTGGCTCTTCCAAGCCTTGTTTACCAATATTCAGGGTTCCCAGAGTTTTCCTCTCATTTCCCACCACATTTCTGATTGTCTGATCCTTCCAAGTGGCAGCACCTTGTTGCAATGCAGGTGCAGTCCACTGACATGGAATGAGTTCTGACTAAAAAATCCTAACTTTTGAGATTTCCTATTTGAAAAGTTAAATATTTCTCTGTCTCTTAGCTGAATTCCAGAAAGGAGACATCCTGGTCTTCCCCCACGGCAGGAAGGAGTATTTTATCCCTGATACTATTAAGGATTGCTGGTGCATGGTGCTAATAAAAAAAAAAGTACATGGGCTTTTAATTAGTTGTGTTATTGTTTTCTAATTCTCTACAAACAGTGCCTCCTTATTGCCTATCCCAGGGAAGACTGCTCCCACCCTATCCCCATGGTATGCCAGTGTTTCTTGGGAGAAGAGACGCATGTACATGAATATTTTTGCATGCTAATATATAGGATTCCCACCCTTCTTGTGTTACTTGTAATAAGTTTTATTGTTTAATTTTCATTTGATTATAATCCATTCATTATATTCTTTTATTCGTCCTCATTGCTCAGAACACTGCCTGACTCTATAACCATTTGCTCAGTGCTTGTACTTGAGGACATGGTTTTTCTGTTGGTCTTGAATTTGATGATCTCATTAGCTGAAAACAAAAACAGAACAAAATCTAAACTGAAGTTAGGAGTTTGGAAGAATTGTGCCAAAACGTGACTTACAGAGATTGTTGATATGAATCAGTTGTCTAGCTCTGAGTGTACAGTCCATGAATACACTTCTTTTGTCTTTTGAGTAAGCACTTTCTGAAGAAGTTTTCAAGATTGGCACATAGAGATGAGTTTCTGGTCTTGAAGCAACGTTGAGTGAGTGCAGCTACAGTGAATGTGTCTTCCCCTCTCCTCCCTTCCTTCATCCTCATGAAGTAAAAACTCATTTTGAAAGCAGAGGGAGCCATTGAACCTGAAGATGAACCCTGGGCTCTGATCTGAACCTTGAAGAGTAGCCATGGAGGGAGCTGACTTTAGAAAAGAAATCGTCACCATAGTGGACTACTGTGACTGGTCAGGCTAGCTTTAGATTTCTGAGGAAAATGTCTTACTAGAGCCCAACTTTGCGAGAATGAGGGGGGAAAGAAGAGGAGACGTTTCCTTGATTCTAAGTGTTTAGAATGAATATCTAACTTTTGGAAATGGTCTACCACCCTCCACCATGGGCCTCTCATTGTTTTGAACTAGCATGTTTCACCTGAACTACAGAGCACATCCTGGATGGGACCTGATAGTTTGTTGATTTACTGAGTGCCCTTGCTGACCTTCCTAGACCATAAACAGTCCTTTGGAAGAATAGACCACCGTGGGACCTCAGAAATGTCTATCAGCATCTCATAGGAACTCAACAGTCAAAGCACTGTCCGCCTTTCTTTCACCTTTGTTTCTGAGTACAGGCATACCTCGGAGATATTGCAGTGTGGTTCAGACCACCAGAAAAAAGTGAATTTTGCAATAAAGCAAGTCACACAGTAATTTGGTTTCCCAGTGCATATAAGAGTTACATTTACACCATACTGTAGTGTGGTAAGTGTGCAATAGCATTATGAAAAAGTTTAAAATACTGTGAGAATTACCGAAATGTGGCATAGAGACATGAATTGAGCACATGCTATTGAAAAAATGGTGCCAACAGACTTGCCCGACATGTAGTACAATGAGGTATACTGATATATTCTCTCCAGTGACTACTTTACAAACATACTCCATTGCCACTGTGGAGGTGTATTGGCTTCATTGCTAATGGCCCAGTTTCTGACTGATTTATCTTTACTTACCCAATCACTGTTAGAGTCGAAAGTGCCCCCCATCTCTTTTGTGGGAGGAAGATGAAGACCAAACAGCTCATTGTGTTTACATGTGTTCTTCTCTGCTCCCCAGACATCTGTCCAGAGAAGGAGGAAAGCCTACGTACTCTATAGTGTATGACAACCTGCCATATTCTGTAGGTCCTTGTTGTGATGGCCTGAGGTGTATATGGCAGGGCTTGAGCTATGGACTTACCAGCCTTTGTTGGCTGCATGAAGTCTTCCATTTATAACTGCTGGTGAAGTAGAAATAATCAGAAATTACTGTCAGGCCAGCTGGTGCAGCCATCAGAGATATGTTGTCCTTGACCATTTCAACTTGGGGCGATTAGAAGAGAGCTTCTGGGTGTACACAGGGATGCAGAATGACCCTCATCCATCTTCTCTCCCATTGCCTTCCCCAGGGCTAGGACACCTGATCTCCTGTATCCTCATTAATGGTGCCCAGTACTTCAGGCGCATCAGCGAGTCTGGCATCAAGAAGATGTGCAGGAACATTTTCGTTCTCCAGCAGAATTTGACCAATATCACCATGTCCCGGGAGGCTGACTTGGACTTTGCAAGGTAGGAGGGAAGATTGGGCTCATTTTTGGTGCTAAAGTCAAGACCTCATTGCCCATAAAGTCATTTACAATGGATTCTTGGTACTTAAAAAAATTAAAAAAAAAAACTCTATGTCTTTTTCACTAAGGAAATTTTATTTAAATTCAAACTCAATAAGTTAGTTAACTAACAGATAGACGTTAGGTTATAGGGAAGGGAATTCCATCAAATTCTGTATTGGGTGGTTAACATTCCCTAGACAAGTAGATGTTCCTGTTGTTTAATCTATGTTCTTCTTGATACAAGATAATAGTGATTATGGAACTCGTATATGCTCATTGCATAAAAGGTGTAAGATAAAATACAAAGAAGCATATAAATGTCACTCATAAAGCACTAATCTAGAAGTAGCCACTAGGTATTTGGTACCCTTTCTCGTGGCTTTGTGTGTGTGTTGTGTGTATATGTGAGTTTTCGTCCAATATACATGCATACGATTTCTTTTCTGACAAAATTGTAACTATATTAAGAGTTTTGTATTAATTTAATTGTATTTTCTGCTATCAGTAATATTCTTTGGAAGTATGATTTTTCCCATGTTCATTGTGTTTACATGTGTTTTTTCTTCTCTGCTCCCCAGACATCTGTCCAGTTTTTAGTCTGTTTTAGGCTAAATTTGGTGGAGAGCCTTCCTTGCTCATATGAGGGAAACCAGGTGTGACTGGATGCTGCATTTATTTGGTTGCTCTTTTGGGAAATGATCTCATTATTGAATTAGTCTATTCGTAATAACATGGACAAGGGGAAGTTAAGAACATGGAGACCTGAGGGATACAGAGACCACTGCCAATTCTCTGAGGAACATAATTCCTAAATTCAATCATCCTTTTTTAAATGATTTTCTTTTTTTTTTCTTTTTATTTAGCCGAAATAAATAAATTAGTACAGTTTTTGGCAGGCATTATGGGCCCTAATACACACTAAGAGGAGCTGGCATCTGAGCAGTGACATGCTGACTGAGCAGGATTGGGGTTGACAAAGGTGGGGCATGTGCCAATGAAACACTTCTTCAGGAAACAAGTGGATGACCACTGAGTCGTGTCTTTCACTTTTGGATTTGTCAGTCATGTCCAAAACTTAAAAAAAAAACACCATCAAGTCAGTTCCAACTTATGTGTTACAGAGAGTAGAACTGGCCCTAGGGTTTCCATGGCTATAATCTTAATGGAAGCAGACTGTCAGGCCATTCTTTCACTGTGCCACTGGGTGGGATTGAACCATCAACGTTTAAGTTCATAGTCAGGCACAAACTGTTTGCACCACTCAGGACCTTGTGAATCATGTCTCAGGAAGTGGCTATAAGTGGAGATGTGACCCCTTGGAGAGGCCCTGCCACTGGAACTCTATCCTTTTGCTACTTTCTTTCTATCAAATGGGTTCTGAAAGGAAATAGGATAGTAGAAACAGTACCAGGTGATTCTGCCCTCCTAACCCAGCTTCAGATGACACCTCCTAAGTAGACTGGATGCTCCAAGAGGCCAAGACTGCTTCCTTTGTGCCTGACTGATCAACTGGCCCACAGTAAGTGCTCGTTATGGGTACTGAGTGAATAACTAGGCATCAAATCAAGGCCTCTTTTGGTGCCTGCAAAAGGCTTGGATAATGACATAGTTGAGTTTCACAGTTGAATTTCTCTTTAATTCCTAAAGGCTTTATTTAAGCAGCTGCCATGGGTCAGTTTCCTCACAGTCTTATAGGATACACAGCATCTCTCCTGCAGTTTTTCCTGGGTTCTATCAGAGCAGAAAGCATTACGTAAAGGTCTAACGGATCCCTACCGTTCGTCGTCTCTCTCTTCCTCTGCCTCTCATTTTCTCTTGCTCTCATGCACACGCACATACATGGACACTTTTATAGCCTTATTTTTATTAGTCCTTCTTCTTTTGGGCCAGGATAGGTTTTGCGAAATGGGCTTCATCAATTCCACCGAATTTGAAGCTGTAGAAAATAAATATAACAGCAACGCCAGAATAGCCAGAAATAATAGAGTCCAGCAGTGTGCCTCAGCATTTCTTAAGCAATGCCCAGTCAAGCATGGACAGCATCTGTATTTTCAGCAAATCTCTATAGGAATGTTAGCCTCTATCACTGTAATTAATCACTAGTTGCCGTGTGTCGGGAAACTGATTTAACAAGAAGTTGCAAGGCACTGGTCATTTTTGCTTCCCTGGCCTTCCTGGCCAGTGGGGAACAGCACCCTTTCTGTAATCAAGGAACGAAGACTCTCGAGGGACTCCATCTATGGTGACTTTTCCATTCATGGCATTTTTAAGTCATCTGTCTCTTTACATGTACACCTTTACTGCAGTTCATCTTGAATAGAAAGATAAATTGTGCTGACCAAAGGATCAAGACAAGCTATAACATTCCTAGAATTACAGGGCCGCTCTGTCCTCTGTGGTAATGACCACTTAAGCTGTGCCATGGGGTTGACCTTTGACCCCATTGTTGACTTTTCAGACTCCAAAGGATACTTTGTCTTGGAAAATCACCGGATTAACTCCAAAGTGAAAGGCCTTTATGAGCATGCTTGCTGATTCCTCTCATCAGGGATCATCTTAACCTGAGCTGTCATATGATCTTTCCAAGAGTGAGTCACTGAAGCCATCTAGGAGCCAGGCAGTGCGTAATGGTGTCAGAATGGGACTGAAGTCCCCAAGGCTTATCTGGAAACCTTTAGAGTTTATGTGAAGCCATTATTTGTAAAGAATATCCCAGAGTTTTCTTCCTAGGTATCCCACACACGCACATCCACACACATGTGCATATATGCCATTTTCCCTGTGTAACTGTCTTTTCCGGTTACAGTTGCCTCTCTTTCTCCTCTCTCTCTCCTGCTGGTTCAGCTTCCTCCATTGTGCTTCCCTTTAGCCTGCATGCTCCCCTTCTTCAGACTGACCAAGGAAAGGAAATGAAAGCTGAGATTCCAGAAGTGGTGAGGGGAGAAACTCTGACACAAGGCAAGGTTCCTCACCCTTTCATTCATTCATTCAACAAATATGTATTGAGTGTGTGTTCTCTCCAGGTCCTGCCCTTGTGGAACTTGCAGTATTGCGGGGCAAGAAGGACAAAGTAATAAACAAGTAAAATTTAAAGTAGTCAGATGATGGTTTGTGCTATGGAGAAACGTTCTGCATGGGAAGGGGAACAGAGAGGGCCAGAAGCAGTGGAGGTAATCAGCAGTTTGGATAGCATGTTCATGAACCTCTTTAATGAGATGGTAATAGTTGAGGGAGAACCTGAAGGAAGAATGAGAAAAAGCCATGTGGATATCTAAGGGGAAAAGCATACCAAGAATATGTGGATATCTATGGGCAAAGACCTAAGGAAGGGGGATGCTTGGAATTTGAAGAATTTGAAGAGTAGCAAGAAGGCCATTATGGCTGAAGTGGGGTGAGAAAGAAGAAAAGCAGAGGTAGATTAGGTTAATATGAGGGGCAGAGATCTTGAGGGCCATTGTAATAACATTCGCTTTTACTCTGAGTAAAGTAGAATGCTATTAGAGGGTTTTGAGCAGAAGAGTGCCATATCTGACCTGCATCATGGAAGACTCACTCTGGCTGCTTTGCTGAACATAAATGTGTAGGGAGGAGAGGTAGCAGGTAAGGGCAGACAAAGGAAGACCTGTTAGAAAACTATTGCAATAATCTAGGTGAAAGATAGTGGTGACTCAAACTAAGATGGTAGCACTGGAGCGGATGAGAAGTAGTCAGGTTAGTTTATATTTGAAAAGTAGAGCTCACAGAACTTCCTGAAGGATAAGAAGTGAGTTGTGAAATAGAGAAGAGAAGCAAAAATGACTCTAGGGTTTTTTATCTGAGCAATCTAAAAGACATGGTTTTCATTTACTGAAATGAAAAATGAGCCAGACCTTAGGAGAGGCAGGTCAGTGGGGGTGGAGAAGCAGTTGAGGTGGGGAGATCAAGATTCCAGCGTGGAAATGTGAAGTTTTAGTTGCCTATTAGACATTTCAGTGAACCTAGAGCTTAGAGAGCTGGATTTACAAATCTGGATCTCAGGAAATGAGTCCAGGGCATAGACAGCATTTTGGGATTCATCAGTGTTTAGATGGCATTTACATCCCTAAGCCCGTGAGAAGTGAGATCACCACCACATAATAGCACAAGTAGAGAAGAGGAGAAGCTGTCCAAGGATTGGGCCTTGGGCTCCTCCACTGTTTAGACATTGGAATGTTGAGGAAGAACCTCAGCAAAGGAATCTAAGAAGGAGTGATCAGTAACATAGGAAGACACCCCAAAGAATGGCATGTCCTAGAGTTCAAGTGAAGAGGAAATGTCTTTATCTGTGTCAAATGCTGCTGATCAGTTCAGTTAGGTCAAGACAAAGAACCAGCCACTGGTGGACTAGACAAGAGGACATGCTTTGATCTGTGTTCCTTTAACTTTACTATGCCACTTACCCAACATAGGAATAAACTTCACATATATGTATTTAGGGGCTGACTTCTCACACCCCAATTCCACGGCAGAGTCTGATATGTTCAGACAAACAATACCACAGTTAGATGACAGTGTTTCTAGTGTGGTGTGCAGAAGATCACATTGTCAGCCTCTTTTCTCGTCAAATGGTCACTAAGAAAGCCCAGCACTTTCAACATAGGTCCTCATCATTTGTTTCCCATGGCAGAGCTCAATTGTATCTACTCTAGAATGACACTAGTGGATATTTTTATTTTCAGTGACAAGCAGCCTCTTCTCCCAGCCCTCCTTACCCCCAGCTCCTCTTCCCGCAGCCCTTGATTAGCTGTGGAGCAGTTCATCCTATGTACTTAACCTCTGAAGCCATATGGTTTCTATTATACTCATACATAGGAATCTCTGCTCCACAAAAGTCAAGAGAAAGTTCCTACAACTAGAGATGGAACCATCTTGGAACCTGAGGGCAAAAGGAGGGAAAATCTTGCCTAGAGTACCTCCCTAGAACAAGGATGTATGGCAAAA